ATGCCCCACAGAGCTGTTTGCTACCAGATATATTAGCCCCCTCAATACTTTCCAGGATTTCCAATTATGCTACCACTCCTTAAGTCTTGACGCTTACAATATTTGTACAACAAAAATATTATATCTATTTATTTGAACTATTATAATTGAAATATTCATTACTATATTAAATTACACTTAGTAATTAATATGAAGGTCATGTAACAATAACTGTAAAATAAAAAATAAACTAATATTTATCATTAACAACTTTACAGCTTAAATTATATTATGTCATATGCAGGTCACGAAGAATTGAGAATTCATGTTGTACGATAACGATTTTATTTATTTATAAGCTACTTCAGTAGTACAGTATAAGAGTTGTAGATACTAAAACTAAAATTATAATGCTATCTATATTGCTATTTAAATATAGCCCTAATCAGTGTTGTTATTTACAATATCGTGGCACCAGGGTATATTGTAAGGCGCTGTTGAGCATTGATTGGGATATCGAGAACTTTTTTTGCGATTTTGGAAGTACAAGTTTATGTTGATAATGTTATAATGATAATATTATGGGTGAGAAGGTTGGTGAACTCAGTCGTGCATCTAGATATTTCAAAAGGGGGGTATTATTCAAAATTATACACAACAAAATAAATACTTTACGTATACTTTATTGTACAAGAATACAAAAACATTAGTACATTACACATGAATATCTATTCATGTGTAATGTTCTATTGTATGATACAATAATACTTAAGTATTTAAATATTTTATCATATTAAAATTTCAAATGTACATTTTTGTCATATGTATCTATTTTAAATCGCGCATGATACGACATAAAACCACGGCTTTGGTTTATTAGACCATACGATGTAATGAGAAGCCGGATCCCAGCTTTACATTATTGTTATGTATATATTTCGATATGATAAATATGTTTTCATCATGGTTTATAATCAATTTTTAACTTTATTAGACTTCAGTATAATGTTAACGCGGTTAAGGGGAGGTGTTACTATACCTGTAACCCATGGCTACGGGCCTGGGTAAAATGGTTTGAAAATTATATTTTTGAAAAACCACCGATATCATAATTTTGTGGAAATATTTTTAATATTTTAGTGAAGTGATTTTTAAATTTTTAATATTACATGTTAAATTATTTTACCAGTTATATGTATTATTTTAAAGATTATTTTTCGGAAGTCCATTACCTTATCAGTACTTGCCTACGCCGAACATAGACGTAGTTTCTTAATTGTTTCCTTAATTGTACTTATTTGATTTAGTATTATGTATATTTTATATAATACACTATTTATATGCGTAATGGCGTAGGGCTAGGGACTTATAGGAGTTTGCATATTTTTCAATAATTATTCTAAACATAGCTAAGTGATATAAAAATGTGTTTCATTGTACTAGGAGTTTAAAGTAATCATTTTTATTTTGCATATTTTGCATATTCAGCTGTTTTTTCCCTATAAGAGCATATTTTGTTATATTTCTATTTTAAGAGCATATTTTACATATTTTATTAAAATTAAAATAATATTCGGCAAAAAACAATATTTTATACATATGTACTATACAACATTTAATATGAATTTTCTAGAAATTGGAAAAATTAGATAAAAATAAATATAAATTATTATTTAATCTATACCGTGTGTGTGTAATGTGTTTTCCCAATTATTTGTGTGTTGTTAGTATGTGTCGGTCGATAAGAAATATGCCGAATACGGTCAGTTGAAGTCAATTAGTTTATTCGTTTGTATCATATGTGTTTTCGTCTTGCGTCAGTATAGTTCGTCTGTTCGTATTGTTTTTTTTTTAAGATTAAATTAAAAATGCCCAAAGTAAAAACAAATACATGTAGTCGCCTACAGTCATATGTTTCAGAATTCGGTAGTTCTGTGTTTTTAATTGATGAATCAGTACTATTTCGTAAACTTTGTGAAGTTAAAGTTAGTGCTCAAAAACGTTTTACTGTGTTACAACATCTTAAAACCGAAAAACATGTCAAGTCAGTTAACCGCATTGATAAGCCAAAAAAAAGTCAACAACTTCTTGAATTTAATCTTGCCAACTAAAAAATGTCAGTTTAACAAAGATTATGTGAAGCTATGTTATTTGCTAATATTCTTTTATACAAATTAGATAATGTAAAATTTAGAGAATTTTTACAAGAGTATACTGGAAAAGAAATTCCAAAGGAAGCTACTCTTCATAAAGGTTACGTAGAAGACTGTTATAAAAATACTTAAGAAAAAATACGAAATCACGTATCAAATATCAAAATATGGGTATCTAATAGATACTATCTATTGACGAGACGACTGACATCGAAGGTCGCTTCGTAGCCAATATTATTATAGGCGTTTTACTAACCGACGGACCGGGTGAGATATTTTTGATAAATACAGAAAAATTAGAAAAAGCTAACCATCAACTATTTTTAAACTTTTTGATAAATCCATGAATTTGTTATGGCCACAAGGCGTTCAACATGATAGCGTCTTGTTATTTTTGTCGGATGCTGCACCGTATATGGTGAAATCGGGAAAGGCAATTTACTCAAAGATGGTGCATGTAACATGTATAATACATGGATTTCATCGAGTGGCCGAAGAAGTACGTTCATATTTTAACACAGTTGACCAACTTATATCAAGTGTAAAAAAAGTATTTTTGAAAGCACCATCTCGAACTCGTATATTTAAAAATAAAGCTCCTGATATCTTAATGCCACCTCAACCGATTTTAACTCGTTGGTGAACATGGTTGGATGCGGCTAAATATTATTGTGAGAATTATGAAGTAATAAAAAATATTTTTAATAAGTTAGATGAAAATGACGCGAGCAGCATAAAAAAAGCTAAAGATATTTTTAACAACCCAGATTTGAAAGCAAACTTGGCATTTATTTCTTCAAACTATAGTTTTCTTTCGATTTATTTTACAAGTTTGGAAAAACAAAACATGACGCTCTCTGAGTCTATTTCCGTCGTAAAAACTGTTAAGGAAAAATTACAAAGTCCACAAGGAGAAAAAAGGAAAGGCTATTTACAAAAAATTGGAAAATGTTCTGTCAAAAAACGAAGAATTTAAAATTATTGAAAAAATTTCCAATATTTTAGAAGGAATAGACAGTTCTATGGAAAATGTTGAAAACTTGCAAGTCAACGATTTACAGTTCTATAAATTCGCTCCACTAACATCTGTTGATGTCGAGCGTTCATTTTCAAGGTACAAAAATTTACTGGCGAATAATCACCGATCATTTACGTTTGAAAATATAAAACAAATTTTAGTGACGCAGTGCAATTCATTTCGGTAAGGTTTAAAAAATTGTTAAATCATTAAAACAATATGCATTTATAATTGAAATGTTTGTATTTTTTTCTCTTTAAAGGCAAGCATAAAGAAGAAATGAAGTATAAGTGTACCTTTATAAATTTGTAATTTCTTTAAGTTTTCTACGAAAAATAAAAAAATATTTTAGAGCATATTTTAGCATTTTTGTAAATTTAAATAGCATTTATAATAATTTTTAAGGGTATATATGCATGCATATTTTAAGGTTTTTAAGGGCATGAAGTCCCTAGCCCTAGTTATGAAATAACATTATAATAGGTATGCGAGCCTTGGTTTGTTTCGATTCAGTTCCAGTAATTCCACCAATAATTATTTTACAAATCGTCGGCTTTCTATTTATTGTACTGGTATAATGTATTCATATTTGAAGAACAGTATTAGTTTGAGAGTGCACCTAATATCTAGCGTAGTGTTTATTCATATAAAGAATTATATTTAGTATACTTAGTTATGAGTAGAGTTATAAATGTGACTTTTGATAGAGAGGTAGAGGGAATTTAATGCATTGTTGATAAAAATTCTTAGAATAGACCCTGCGTGGCACTCTATTGGATAACTTTTCTTAGTACCTATACTTACTGGGTAGTTATTATTGAAGTTATAATTCTTATTAAATATCATAATCAGGTGACAAAAATGTCTCACTAAATCTAGTACTCACCCACTTATCCCCTATACAATTATCGGGCAATTGCCCTTCAAAATCATGGTCAATACGCCACTGGTGAAAGCAGCTATTAAACAAATAAAAGAAGGCAGAGTATCCGATCCCGATAAAATACATTCCGAATTCATCAGATTACTGGATGATGAGAAAATTAGATGAATCTCAATAATATTCAATTCAGTATATAAGTCAAGTATAATTCCTGAGGATTGGATAAATCCCAGTTTATTGCCTTGCCCAAAAAATCGAGCGCAAGAACATGTGGGGATTATAGAACAATTAGGCTGATGAGCCATTTTCTGAAACTGGTTTTAAAGATTATTCATAAGAGAATACATAGGCTATGTGAAGAACAAATAGCACCTAATCAGTTTGGGTTATTGAATGCGGGTAGCACAATAGAAGCACTATTCAGTGTACAGGTCCTCTTCCAAAGATGCAGAGATGTAAATTATGTCTGTTTGGTTGATTACTAGAAGGCTTTTGAACTATGGAATACAGAAAATACAGAAGAATTTTGAAAATATCATGGACTGAGAAAATTACCAATACTGAGGTATTGCGTATAATGGAAAAGGAAAAGGAATTAGTTGTAACAATTGAATGCAGAAATCTTCAGTACTTAGGACATATGCGGAACAAGTGTAGATATGACCTTCTCCAACGTATCTAATAAAACTCGTACATTATTGATAATCGCCAACATCCGAAACGGATCGGCACATTAAGAAAAATAATTTTTTGTGCCACTATAGCTTCTGTAAAAATAATAAGAATAAAAAAACTGATATCACAAAAAAAATACTTAGCCAATTCAGTGTAAAAATGATAAGGAATTGAAAAAAGTATAAAATATATGATATAAAGTAGAAACTAAATAAATACTAATATGTATAATTTTGATAAATATTGATAAGATTATTTTTGTACAAAACTATAAATACAATATATTATGAAGCATTATTATAGACAAAAAAAATTAATTTAAAATAAATGTAAGTTCATCACATCAGATTATCAAATACACAAATTCATTACTTTAGTTATGTTTGTTTTCTTCATTGTATGAAAGAGTTAGGTCAGTATCATTGATATTTTTATATTTATACTTAAAACTCATTAAAATAAATATGATCATATCAATTACCATCAGACCAGCAAAAAGTAAATATTCATATGCCTAAAAAAATGTTTAGGTTAAGACATTTAAATAAAACAATACAATTTTTATACCGTACTTGATTCTCGAAAAATCGTACTTCGGAAACGAACACAACTATAAGATTTCCAAATGCTACAGTCAGTAAATTAACAGCTGCCAATAAAGACTTCATACTCGAAGGTGCCTGTAAAATAATATAATTTTAAAAACCATAATATAATATCTTTAAAAATGAATTTTACTTGAGTAAATGCAAATTCTAAAGATGTAATCGAGAACATAACTTCTGCAGTAGTCATTGCAATAATTTGAGGTAATTGCCATGCTAAACTAATAAAACTTCCTTCCTCTAATACTTCCAATTTTGAATTCTATACAATATTAATTTGTTAAAATGTAATTACATAAAAATATTGGTTTAAATTAGTTACTATAAAAATCTACCGTATGTCCAGAATTCCGTTGTAATATTAGTGTGTTTACACTAGCCGGTAAAAAATTGAAATCTAGAAGAAATTCTTTTTGTAAGAAAATACTATATCTGAAAAATAATGTGATTATTATTATTTAGTTTTCTTATTTAGACTTTATATGCATATTAATTATTATAAAATATTATTCAAAAATCAAATGTTTAAATCTATAATGAAAGAAATGGGAAAAAACTAATAAGAATTATAATTCGCTGAACCGGAATTTAAATACAAACCACTCGTTATCCGATTAAATCTAATATTATTTTTCTACTTTTTCATCAATTGCTAACATTATAAATAATAATAAATATAACATTATATTTGAAACCTTAAGATAGGAGAAACAATTTTTTTTTTGCTTTTTAGCTTATAAATAATAATCAATAATTATTTATTACTTTATCAGATACTAAAAAATATATTAATTACCTATTTAGATTAACCATAAATGATAGGTAATGAATATTGATTTCATTTATTCATAAGTATACAAACATAAACTGGAGACTGAAGAGTATGGTATGATCTTAGTTTCTTACAAAAAATAATTCATAAAGCCTTACAATAAGTTTTTAGAATTGAGATATTATTAGTTATTTTAAAAACATAACAAATATTGCTAAAGTTTTTTATAATATAAACGTATATATTAAGAAAAAAATATTAAAGGTTTGATAAAGCATGTTATATTTTTAAAATGTATATCATTCCAAGACTCTTAAATCATAATAGTAGTATATTTTCCTCATAATTTTTTACTCAAAAAATATTAATATAATGGTTAAATGTCTTTTATCAATGTTACATTTTTATTATGAGTGATAGGAATAAATATTTTACCTAACATTTATTTAGGAACGTGAACATATTTAGAAGACGGTAATTGTATAAATAACTTACTTTCTTATGGGTATTGCAATAACTGTTGACAATGAATTTAAATTAATTTCAATCGTCGCATTACTGCTTTCTTTATCTTTGAGTGTAATAACACTGTTAATTAAATCATCGCTGGTTATTAACCTGAAAACAATTTGAAATATTTAAGTTAAAAAAAATGTCAAAGTGTTATCTTAATATCCTGTACCCATGTGATCTTATTTTATGTCAACTATTTCATCATTTAGATGTTTATCCAATTGGTAAGTACTCATGTAAAATTTAAGTAGGTATGTAATAAATCACTAATACCCGTACTAATAAGATACTATAAAAATAAACTGTTATAGTTTTTTTAACACACTTATATATTTATAATACAAATTATTGTTTTCAAATTATATAAAATAATACAACAATAATAATGTATAATACAGGTAAAATATTTATAATATGGTAGAAAAACCATACAAAAAGTATGGTATTATCCTAATTAAACCTATATTTATACATACAATTTAAAAAAAAGTGGATGAGACAATATTACTAGGTTCTATACACCTATAAACGTGCGCAGACATTACTGCCAGGGTAGTCATAGATAAAATATTAACATTTAATATGTATTAACAATAAATTTGGATAAGGTAATTTCATTTAACTTAATAATTATATTTTTTCAATATTCTTATAAATGTATTTACCGTTTACGGACGTTTCGAAGTGGATGAACATAATATGGTTATTTATTATTGTGATAACATTGAATATTTTGGTAAGGAAAAGAAGGTTCACAGAGTTATCGAGTGTCTACCCTGACTACTCCGTGCGCAAGCTTATGCCTATTAAAAATGTTTTTTATATTTATATACATTTAGCACTCAGTTGCATGTATAAATATATTATTATTACTTATTAGTTATGTATAAATGCAAATAAAAATTGTTAACCTTAAAATTGAATTTCCATTTTTAGGTTTACTGAAACTATCCACAGTACCAATTCTTCTTAAATCAAGTTTATCTTTATTGCGAGTTAAAAAATAGGAAGTTGTCTGTAATTTATAAATGTAAATTAATCATTGAGTACATTAAAAAAGTTTTACAAATTAATAAAATAATTAATTAAAGGTACTAACTTTTCCTTCTGTAATATAAACATTACTCGTCAAATTATTTATTGGTAAGTTTGACAAACACGAAGGGTCCAAAATAAAATCAATGGGAAATGCAATTTCATTAAAAACTGGAGTATATCTTATATCTAATGTTTCCATTGAATTCAAGTTATGTACCGATAAGATAGTAGACTTAACAGTCACATTACAATCAAAACCATTAAATACTCTAAGTTGTCCTTCACCCTTTGGTATTTGGATCTCCTCACACTAAAATAATAAATATTAATATTAACAATATTAGGTATAATCGAAAAATACTCAGTATAAACATTTCAGATGTGATTCCTATGCACACGTCCAGAGATATGCGGCTGACATGGCGCGATTTAATTTTAGCCACACAGGTACTACTTGTTTATAATTGTAACCGATTCTGACAAGAGCAGTCAAGACGTGCACAAACCGTGTGATCCGAGAACTTGATAAAAATGTGGAATTATATAGTTTAATACATAATTAAATTGATCCCAGTTGAATCTAAAAAATTCCCGGCATTTGATTTTAACTTGCCATAAATGTTTGTTATCGTGACACTGAAAAATCCTTCATTTTCCTGGTCAAAAACATTTCATGCAATTCCTTTTTTTTTCATTTGACAATATATATTTTATGATACCTTGTTTTTCATCTACTTCTTGTAAAAGAAGTAATTTTAAGACTAATTTTTGTTTTTTTTAGTTACAGGTATGGTCAGTGGCGCCGACTTTTATTTTATTTGGTGGGGCAAAGTATAAAAATTTGTTAATACCACCACCCAAAAAGTTAGAGCAAAATAATGACAGGTTACATGATTGAATGATTATATTGAAAATTTAATTATCATAAAGTCACTCGGTTCACTCGCAATTTATCACTCCAATTTCATCTATTAGGTAGATACTATTTAGCAATGGCGTATCCAGGAGAAGGTAGGCGATTATAACCGACAGCCCGCACTATTAAATCTATTTTAGAATACTATTGTACTTATTGTCGGTGATACCCGATTGAACACGGTCGTTGTCGACCGACCTTTTTGACGACCCGATTGAGCACGGTAAAAAAAAAATATTGTGTACAACGTTGTCAGATTGAAAACTATTAAGTAACACATTAGCGTTTTGTTAAAGAAAATTAAAATGAATAGAGCACAACACACGAGTGTCACGCAGTAAAATTATGGCACGATATTTCGAAAACTATCACGTTCACCTTGATTTTATCGTGCGTTAAAAATACCGCTATAAAGGCTTATCGTGAGTACTCTGAATTTAAAAATACTGACAACCTACTTAAATACTTATTGAAAGTTGGAAATATATATTTAGGGAAAAAAATTTAAAGTTTTACCTTTTTCATGACAATTGTATGAGTGCTATTTTTTAGATGAAAAAAAAAGTGTAATTATAACATGTGATTAAAATTCAATAAAAGATTTTTAATTATAAATAATTATATTCAAATGTATTTTATTTTGTAATAATAATATGGAAGCACCGAGCTCTATACACTAACAATATAAAAAATGCGAAAAAAAGGTGTCTTGTCGTTTTTCTATTGGAGAGTTATTTATTTTAGAAAACTTGAGCCGTTAAAATTTTAAATTTTGAAATAATCTTTACAAATCTAAAATTGAATTACATAATAATTATAAAAAAATCTTGAATACACAGTAATACGGTACACTGAATAATATTCTACGGTACAAAGCGGCAACGTCGCACCCATTTTCGTGCTCAATCGTGTGGTTTTTGGGTTCTTTTTTGATTCCTATTGTTTTGTTGCCACCGTGCTCAATCGGATTACGAAAAAGATCAATCGTGCTCAATCGGGTTCCAGCCCTTATTGTTAAATGTTTCGCTTAAAACAGCGCATAATTATAGTAATAATAATATAAATTATGATCGAGTAAAATGCCTCATATTTTATTATAAATCAATAATCATACAGACTGAAAATTATAATTATAAATTAGGTATTAATTATTACATATTTACCTAACTTATTGCTACCTTCTTCATAGTGATTTTAGAAAAAACACTTAATATAAATTTGAAGCGTAGGTATATAAATATAGGTTTAATTATTTAAATATTAAATACGTTATTAAAATTAAAGAAATGTAAAACAAAATACAGTTTATTTCATTTTTTAAACAACTGTAATTTAAAAAAAGTTGTTTCAAAAATGTTTCACGGGGCTATTGATAATTTAAGTATCCATCTTAAAATGTTTAAAAGATGTATTTGCATGCTGTATAATAGATATAAATGAGAATATATGTAATATACTTGATATGGTATAAAGACATGCATTAATAGGCGAATTGCTCTATCGCATCATATTATCCTACCCATCTACAGATCGATGGTCACTTAATGTGTACATTCCTAAGATTTACTAACTAGAGTGTAAATTTATCCACCCAACCCACCCCATACCCACACCCACCCAAACATCAGGCACCCACCACCATAGTTAAATAAAGGACGAACTGCCCCATAAAAGTACGTGTTAGCATTAGACATAAGGCACCTAAGTGGCTCATTTTTTATGTAGTTAGTTAAGTAATGGGGGATAAAGAAGGGAGCGTTATTTCTAGTTGCCCGCTGAGGTACTTTGAAACATATGAGACATTAAGACAGGTGAATCGATGTTACCGTTCAATAGACCATTTAGGAATTTAATTCCATCATTGCGCCTACGCTCAGCTGAGGATAGTTCAATCAAACTAGAAACAGGGGTATAATTGTGTATAAGACAGTGTATATTGAGTGAGTAACTGACAAAGCGTAGGAACTTTCGCTGAACTCGTTCAAGCTGAAGTGAGTCATTGGCATTAGAAGGATCCCATACTACACAACCGTATTCTAGAATAGGTTTGACAATATTATACAGAATAAAACTTTAAGAGACACTCCTTGCCTGAAATCTTTAGACAAAAGCATAATAAAACCTAGTGCTTTAAACGCTTTGAGCAAATATAATCTATATGCAACTTACTCTCTGAGGGACACCAGAAGGAACTAAAAATATATTAGACTTGATGCCAAATATCATAACCCATTGATATCGGTGACTGAGATAACATCTAATCCAGGACAGTAGTAGTTCACCAAAACCATATTGTTTGAGGGCAAGAATAAGGGTCTTATGATCCACTGAGTCAAAAGCTTTACTGAAGTCATTGTATATTATATCTACTTGTGATTGGTTTTGGATACATTAAAAATATAGTTGGAAAATATAAGATTACAGGTGTAAGCTAAACAGGTCATCCAGGTCGGACGAAAACCATGCTGTTTTCCATTAAAATGTTATTAGTAGGTCTTTGGATTCCATTAAGGATAAGCGATTCAAATATTTTTGATATATGAGATTGTATGGCTATTAGGCGATATTTTGAAATTAAACTAGGAGACCTTGACTTTAAAACCGGTATAATTGAGCTAAGTTTGAACATAAATGGGAATAAGCCATCGTCTAAAGAACGCTTAAATAAGATCCATAGAGGATATGTCAACATTTCCCTAATCTTATATAAAAATGTACCGGAGAGCCTGTCAGGATCAACAAAACCAACACCCCATAGGTTAGATAGTTTATGATAAACATCATCAACACTAAAGTATAAGTTGTTAGGTAGATCAAAAGTGGGAATATCTAGTTAGTCGATCGATCGATCATTTTTCTTAGTGCTGTAAACCGAAGAAAAGAAGGCAGAAAATATATTTGCAGTCGTAAGTTCGTCAGGGGCGATCTAGGAAAAATGGACGCAGCAGTTTGGACGTCAAAAAAAAATATATATAAATCAGTAAATAAAATAAATAAGTTATTTATATTAAGTATAATATGTAAATTTTAATGTCAAAAATATTCATTCAAAAAAACTTCACCATTGCGATTTGAACTAATTAATAGGTTTGTTCGTTTAGGAAAAAAAAGTGTTCACTAATTAGTGTAGTGTCTGGGTGAAGTGTAAGGGGTGTGATCGAATACCTGTCTTCAAAACAAACGGTTTTGGTATAGATTAATCAGCTGACCTTTTGCTATCAATTTTAATAATTAATAATAATTTATTTCTATTGGTAGTAGAATTGAACAATAGTTAAGTAAATTTTTTGTGTAATATTTAATATTAATAATTAACAATTATGATATTAAAAGAAATAGAAATACAAAAATTGCACGTGATGGAGTTTTGTGACTCTTCCGATGACAAATTATTGTTAGAGCTGTGGAATCCTATCAAAATCCCAGCAGCTGTGTATGTAAACGATGACGACTATGAAAGTTGTTTAAATTATTTTTATATATTATTTATAATCAAATATATATAAATATAATAAAATATAAAAATATCATATATTATATATTTTATTATTTTTATAACTCAACCACAGTATTCGTGAGTCCAAATACTATAAACGATTATAATAGTCGGTATTTGATATTTAATATTTAGTTAGTCGTGTTTCTACATTTATTTGAAATTGCAGATTACATTTTTAGCTGATAAGGGCTTAATTTGATAACGATCAACGCTACACTATAAACGCTGTGCCTACACTTACACTTGGGTCAGTGCGAAAAAAGTGTACACTAATGATACACAAAACAAATAACGTGTAAAACTACACTTTTTAAAACTTTTACAAAAAAGTGTACACTTGTTGTGAAAAAGTACTTTCACTTCACCCAGACATTACACTAATTAGTGTAAATTTTTTTTCCTAAATGAACAAACCTATTGATATCTTAAGCCCGATGCACACGTGCGTTTTTCGCCACTGCGGTGCCGCAGTTGTTGAATACACACCATTGCGTTTTTGTTGCGGTAACCGCACGTCATCCAGTCGCCCGAGACGGCCTTCAGCATGGAACATCACTTTAGTTTTTAGTTGCCATTTAGTTACCAACTATGGAGGTTTATTACAAAAAAAAGGCAATTTTAGCTTACTTGGTGCACAAAAAATATGTACGTACGATAGACGTTACTGGGTGCACCCATTTACAGATTCAAGATTATTAAGAGGTGAATTTTATACTACATTCAGTGATATAAGAGAAAATCCAGAAAATTTTTTTACTTATTTTCGAATGAGTGTTCGCTCGTTTGACGAACTAGCAACAAAAGTATCTCCAAAGCTAATCTCTCAAGAAACGTGTATGAGACTCTATACCACCACTAGAAAAAAATTCTGACAGATGCTTATCCAAGAACTTTT